TCGCGGCGCCGGATTCACCGCCCCGTCTGGAGTGCGCCTGCGCGATTGCCGGGGCTCCTCACCTCGGCTTCCCTCCCCGGCCCCCTGCGGGGCTTCGGGGCCAGGCCGGACCATGTTCACCAGCACCGGCTCCAGTGGGCTTTGTGAGTACCGGCCCCCGCTGTCCTGGCTGCTTCCTACGCGCCACCCTGGGTACCTCTCTGATGAGACAGGGGACCGCGGGGACCTTCGGATTTGCTGGAAGTTGGGGGCCCTGCCTTCCAGCCCCGCGCCCCAATCTTGGTAGTTGCTGCCCTTGCGGCCGCGGGACCCCCCACCTCCTCCTGGAGGGGCGTTGGGTCGGGAGCCCCGTACCCTGCGCGACCCCAGCGGGCACCTCGGGTGCGCGGCGCAGCAGCCCCCGCGCTGCTCCAGGTAAACTGGGCAGGTGGGATCGGGCTGGTGCTGTGTTGTTCTCTTGGCCCCGGCCCGTGCCCTTGGCTGCTCAGGTGCCAGGCTGGAAGAAGAGGCTGTCCCGGAGGAGTGGATGCTGGAAGCCTGCCCTGTTCCCTGTCACCGTCCCCATTCATGGAGGCTACAAGGGAACCGAACCTATTCTTCCCCCACATTTCGCCCTCTACTTCAGGAGCTGACTCCCTCAGTTTTACTTCGATGTCTTCTTCCCTAGTCTCCCTGAAGAGTTTTTAGATAGACAGAAACTGATCAAAGTACTTTAAAGAGAGAAGCAAGTAAGTCATTCGGCCAGGGGGTACATGCCTGAGTGCTGGATGTGCTACCTTTTACGGGAGTGTCATCGTGGTCGGTGGGCGGAGGGTGGAGAGGTATATACAGCCTCGCAAACAACTTTTCCCTCATGACGTGGTGTTTAATTGACTTTCCATAACGTGGACTGTGTTTTGACCCAACAGCTCTGATAGTAAGCACTGATACTCCAGCAGTGCGCTGTTTAAACAGCTACACGTTTGCCAGTGCTTGTCACGGTTACTGCTTCCTATCTCTGCATGTGCCGTTAATGTTGCCACAGTACAGGAGCCGTTTTACTGTGAATGTCACGAACCTTTTCTGAGAATTCGTGTGTTAGTCCAAGAGTTACTGTCAGGCACAATTTCAAATCTTCTCACTTTTCAATCCCTTAAGTTTTGAAGTGGCTTTAAATATTTATGATTTCCCTTGTTTTATAATTTAATAATGTGAAGGCTCTTAGGGAATCTTCCATGCATTCGCCCCAGAGACTGACAACTACAAGCAAATTAAGCTTTTCCAAACTACCCTTTGGATAAAGAGCGACATCATGACTGTTGATGAAGCTGATTTCAAGAAGGTGGTGTGGTTTTCCTAAGATCACAAGATAATGTGGATATTACGTTAACCACAAGGTTCTTCAGTTTGTTCTTTTGTTTGTTTGTTTGTTTGTTTGTTTTGTTTTTTGAGACAGGGTCTCACTATGTAGTTGAGACTGACCTGGAACTCACTATGTAGCCCGTGCTGGTCTCAACTCACAGTGATCCTCCTTCCTCAGCCTCCCGAGTGCTGGGATTACAGGTGTGCGCCACCACGCCCGGCTGGAT